CCCCAAAACCCCAAAACCCCAAAACCCCAAAACCCCAAAACCCCTTTGGACAAAAGAAATTTTGAATTCAAGTTAAAATTTATTATAAGATGGAAATTTTGGAGGACTTCGAACAAGTTAAATGCGACTGTTTAGGCCAGTTGGACGAGCTGAAGAGATTTTTGGGGTGGGATGTGATAGTTGGGTTAGAGAATTGGAGATTATAGGGAAGTTAATTGGATAGGTGTATTAGTATGCGGACTGTCGAGGTTTTATGAGGGCTCTAACTTGTTTATGTATAGCTTCGTTGGTATTTTACCAAAATTCTCAGGGTTTGTCTATAGGTATTTTGAGGAAAGTACTGATGTTGATAAGAAAGTGCAGAATGCTTCCTCTTTTGCTAAAAAAATAATCTAAACTATTAAGGTTTAACTTGTTGAGCTCAAAGAATCAGTCCTTGCTCAATAAGTAGCCATTTTCATCCCTCTTTCTAATTTAGGATTAAAAATACAAATAATAGCATAATTTATCTGGAACGAACAGCTGATAATTCATACTAAACCGCAAATATCTTTCAATAAGTTCCCAGCATCACAGATACTAATCTCCTTAGCTCCTATCGGTAGAGTTAAAAAATGATTAAAACTCGCATACGCCTTTTCTTCCAACTTCAGTCCAATATGCTTTATTCCAACTCCTAATGGGGGAGAGCAAGTAAGATATTAGAAAAGATGAACTCCTGCCTTCTTCTTAATATTTACAACAAACTGCTTCTTTTTCCCAAAATTTAGGACTCTGCCTAGCTCTATATACTTGAAGTATAACTATCAGAAAGTCTGATTAAAGCTACAAATAATTTCTGTTAGAACTCTCACTCTTTGAAGAGCACCACATGGATTCTTCAAAAATCAAATTTCTCAGACATCTGGTTCTTTTGGAGTAATATTACCAATCCTGATTATACCTGAATTCGCTATAAAATTCTATAGATTTAGAGACAAATTGGTGACTAGCCATTGATTAGGAATCATATAGAGTCTTAGCGGATAAATGTATTGGAGTTATCATAAAAACTTGGGCCCTTTCCGTCATAATTGCATACAAGAGAGCATCTCAATGACAATAAAAGGTTAATGCTCTTACATATATAAAGAATTTGACAGCTCTTCTTAGACTTTACCAAGGCTATTCTCAAAACCAAAGAGAACAAATTTAGGACTGCTAAAATCAATAGTACACTTTCAATAATTCAGAATCTAAGACATCAAGAATTAGTATTTTCATTACGAGATTTTTCACGAATTACGCCCTTAAAGAATCTATAATTTCTTCACTGCCATTTTTGTAACAGCTGTCTTGTATAATATGTATTTTACCGTTCATAATGCTATTATTAAGTCAGAAATCAGTCTACAAGAACTTGGATAAGATAGTCAGCGTTTTGAATCCCTCCAAAGATATCTAGACCAATATTTTCAATTGATAATCAGTAAGAATGCTACTCCACCAAAATATGTTTCTTCGAAATAAAGGGTTGACTAATAACCAATTATCAGATATCTCAGGTAAAACATCTCTGAAGATGCTAATTAGCTTATTCTCAGGTGACTAACAATCAGCAGACTATTATAGAAAGTTATCCAATCTCACAGTCTTGTTTCAGCAAATCTTATGAATACAAAAACTTTCATCTTTTTCCAAAGCAGAAGCCTACAGAAATTCATAATAAGAGTATTAGAGAAAATTGGAAATAAAGAAGTCATAAGAAAGACCTATTTGTAGGAGATCTAGAAGGAACTGCTGATCCCTATTCGCTCTGCTGGCTTCATTGTTATCAATCACAAAAGAGCCGATTGAGTACTTACTTCTTTCTGTATTATTCAGAAAGGAGCAAAGAAATGTATCATAAGGACGATCCCAGAAGGAATAGACTCTAAAACAAGGCATCGTAGTATGAAATAGATTTCAAAGCGTTATTTGTCATCTTAGTAGGATATCTAATCCCTCTAGAAACATTTGAAGGTCGTTACCAAAAAGTCTGACAACGGTAACTTATCTTATCAAGTAATATTTTGAAACCACATATTTTTAAGGTTTAGTTATTAATGTTTCGGAAATCATTTCTCTCTCTCAAAATAGGACCCCTTAGCCTTATTGGAATAGACAGATAGAGCATGCTTACTTGTGGTAAGAGTCCAGAATCTTGTCCCTTTAAAGTAACATGTAGGTTTTCTAAAAATTTTCAGGGAGATCAGTATTTTATAAAATTGAAACTGAAATCTTTAGAAAAAACCTCGTCTATTATTTTTATTAATCTTGCTAATACCTAATGATGAGCCAATACTGCCATGCGTTCATCTTTTTTCTGGAAATTTTTAGGCAATTCTGAAAAATTTTATTCATGAATTTTTGACAAAGTTTCATAAAGTATTCATAAGATTCTTGACACTAATTTAGTTAATTCTGGCTGTATGTGATGAAAGGAGGCAAAATAGATACCACGATTCCATTTAAAAATCCGTGCTTTTGAGAGTGTAAGGAAACACTTGAGAGAATAAGAGTTAAAAGGCAAATACGAACATTTGTAGACTTACTAGTCCATGCTCAATTTGAATAATGTTCTGCCTTTTTATTTCTCATGACTAGCAAGAATTCGCTAGACAAAACAGGAAGCTCTTTTGTAATATTCATAGCCGTATGCTTGGCTACTTTTTCTGAACTAAATTTGTTCTAAAGATTCTAGAAACAGCCACTCCATTTTGAGCATAATGATCAAAAATTGCGACTTTCCTCTTTATTTTACATAATAATACAGACCTTCAGACCTCATTCAGAACTTTGGAAGAGTTTCCACTAGAACTCAAGAGTAAATATTCAGAACGAGGGAGGAAAACGTACTTCATCTTGAGTGGTTTCTTAAACTTGGGCTATCTTGGTGAGAAAAGGAAAGTTCTAATCCCTAATAGGCTAGTTTAGAAAGAACAGAAATTTTAACAAGGACTGCTTTATCCTATTAGTATGACTCTTATTGGTTAAGATAAAAGGTATGAATTTTTTCAACTTCAAGCTCTTTATTGGTCAGTCATCACGACATAAATCAGGCTTAAAATTTCCAGGAATTTTTAAGAATTTAGATAAGTCTTAAAGGGATAAAGAGTTTAGTAGAACTAATGGTCAAGTTCTCATAGAGTTCGGAGAGCTCTAGTGGAGATATGGCTCTATTAGCCAGGTGTCTAGGGGTATATAGTTGGTATTATGTCCTTACGGTAACGAGACTTCATCATAAATGATATTGAAGAGAGCTCTTTATAAAAATATTTCCCAGTTCTAATTCTGGAGAACTAGCTTTGTGATGCTTGCTGTTGGCCGATACTCCCTTCATATTTGTTCTTTTACGTATTTGAATTAGTCACCGTCTTAAAGTAATTTAAAACTCTTTCGAGCGGGTATTAATAACAGTAAAGCCGTTAAAAAATTATTGATCTATGATCATATGAATTTTATTTGTAACAAGCAGCTCGAAATTTCTTATGCAGGTTTTTGAAATCGCATTTAGAAGAACTAATCTGAGCTCTGAAATACTTTCCTAGAAAAATATTTGAAATCAATAACGTCCGGTCAACTACTTTTGAGTAAAATTTTAATTGGGAATTTTCTCATAAATACCAACCATAGCTACAATGTATTAGGACTGATCTTGCCCAGACTTGCACCTGTACTGAAGAGGACTTTAGAGTTCACAATTGTTGAGAATGCTACTCTGTTTCCTTCTTGGCATCTAGTTCTTACTTTGAGTATTCATAACCTTGCTTAACAATATGCTGATTAACTTGTAGGTATTGGTTATACGACTTTGTTACTAGTAACGGTTGTCAATAATGGAAACAATTAACTAGGCAAATAGTATACTAGATGTTTTCACTGCTGCTAACAAATGTTGCTAAATTGAATAAACCTATACCTTTCAGAATATGGTTGTATCAAGATCTGGAGGATCATTAAGAGTATTTCTCACTTCATTTCCTTACTGACTTCGGAGGGAAGAATTTTCAATTAAATATAAGGCAGAATTAGTATATAGTTTGGCTAAAATCTCAACTCTTGGTAAGACTATAATTTTGAAGATTTCTTCACCATGTGAGCATACAATGTTTTGGAATGTTTCATGAATTTATTACAATTTTCAAAATTCTCAATATTTTGTTTCTAAAGTTAAGATCAAAGCCATCAAAATTATTAAACCTTGATTTTACTGTTTGAAACTGGTTAAATTTTGGAGATGTTTAGTCTGAAGTATTATCGATTATTCAGAAAAGTATGACTGGAGGATGATGAGCAAGAATATTTAAACGCTCCTCTTGGCCCTAATAATGTCTAGTCATAAAAAAGTTTAGCTGTTTCAAATAAGTACTCTTAAGGATGGCTAAAACACATCGAAGGCTATTGAAACTTTGGATGAATACATTCAAAACTATTAGAGATCGTTCGGTATTTGAAAAATTCTTTTTTCCTCAATTAGTATCAAAGGTACTTAGAGTTTTCATTGCTCTCCCCAATTTTTCAAAACAACAAGTTTTTTAATGCAATTATGAAGAATTATTATCAAGTTCTTGATGTAAAGAAACGTGCTTGTTATAGTTTCCTTTCTGTGCAAATCCTTTACCACATAGACTTCACTTATAAGGCTTCTCTCCAGTGTGAGTTCTTGCATGATCCATGAAATTCCAAGTCTTATTGTACACTTTGTTACAATTATCGTATTTACAGATGAAATATCTCAGAACTCTGCCTGTGGCCTTGTTGTGTTTATAAAGTGTTTTATATCTCATGCCTTCCATTAGATTAATGCTTGCTCTTTTAACTTTATAGTGCCTATGACATTGATAAGTCGTATTACCTTGGAGGAGTCTCCAGCCATTCAGCATCTAAATTTTCCCCTTTAAACTCAGTGTAGCTCTTTCCATTGCATATTTGCTGATCTTTTGCATTTCAGAGATCCGGGAAGGAAGTCTGATTAATTTGAAGTGCAGTTGGGTTTATTTCTAAAATAGTGAGAAACAAGGTTTTTGATATTTAAATAATAATAAAATAAGGGTTGACACTATTCTTACCTTTATTTTTAGATTTTTGAGCTTTAGAATCTTCGCATAAGCAAAAAGACTGAGCAATATGGTTGAGGGTAGCCTATGAAATAATTCAGCATTAACTTAGAGCTTGACCTTACCAAGTTGGTTGGGGAGCCTTTTTGATGCAACTTCTCAGGCAAAAGGAGACACCTTGACCTAACCATTAAGTCAAAACTTTCTTGTCACTCCTTATCATAAGTCTCAGAAGAGAGAAAACCCGGTTTCTCGGCATTCTCTGAAATGTCATGATAGTGTAAATATCTTTGCATGTATGAAATATTATTATTAAATCGATTTCTCAAATTTATATATGCTATTAGGGGTTTTGGGGTTTTGGGGTTTTGGGGTTTTGGGG